GGACAGAGTCTGTGCCCAGGAGGGGGAAGCAGGGTGGGGGCCCATGAACTCAGGCTCCTCCTGAGTTCTTTCCTAAATGTGCCTGCTGAGGGCGGCCTGTCAGTTAGACTCCTGAGGGACAAATGGCCGAGTGTGGTCTGCTGGTCGGTGAGTGCCTGTCCTGGCACAAGTGAACACACAGTCGGAGGACTGTCCATGCTGCTGGAACCCTCCCAGCTGGGACTGGACACTAGGCTGGTGGCAATCAGGCACGGGCATCGCTCCTCCCAGGCAGCCCTCTTCTGTGCCTAACGTGCTCTGTCGCCCATGTCATGCTGCCCCGCCCCAGGTGCCCGGGTGACGTGGAGCTCCGAGAAGTGGGCACCTGGGAGCAGCACCCTCTTTCCCACGTGCCCGTCCCTGAGCTGAGTCCCAGGCCCTCCCCACAGCCCTGGCAGCTTCCCACCAAGTGCCAGAGAGCAAGGTCCAGCAGAGGTCAGAGAGTTAGTGGAGACGGATGGCTGAGGAGCACGAGAAAGCAGCAGAGGCAGAGGGGAGGCTGGTGCCCTCTGCAAAATGACAGGGGTGTTCCCCAAGTGGGCTTGGGCTCGCGGGCAGTGATGGGCATGTGTGGGTTTAGCTGTGTCAGCAACTGCTGAAACACCCTGACTGCACAGGGCCACAGTGGGTCCCGCTCTCCAGATCCCCTGTGTCTGGGGCCTGGGTTTGGAGCACCTTGCTGCCCCAGAGGTTCTGGACTCAGGCTCCTAACACACTAGCCTCCCAGCCTCTCCCACCTGCCCAGCTGGAATGCAGAATGGAGCCCCGAGCTCCCCACTGCTATTCTTGGGCCAGCAGAGGTGGCAAGGGGCGAGGCGGGGTGGCAGAGCCCCAGCACCATTTCTGGACTCTGCTTAGAGCTCTAACTGTTCCCTTTCCTGTGCCTTCAGGGACACCTGGTTCCCAGAGAGAGAGAGAGCAGAGGTTCTGCAGGACCTGGACAGAAGGCTACAGGGCAGGTGCTCTTGTGGAAGCACTCCCAGGGCACCTCACAAGCCCCATGTGTGGGCAGCTTGCCAATGAAGGGCTGAGGGCCCCAAGCTGGCTCTGAGAAGTCATCCCAGCCCCCTGTCTGCACAAGCTACTTTCTTGGGCATTGGCACTGTGTCCCTTCTCCTGCCTCCCAGGGCATGTGCTCCTTAAGTGTAAATGCTCTGGACAGCCCCAGGAGGGAACATGCCACCTTACCCTGGCACTCATACAGTTGTCGCTGGTGATGTTAGCATCACTCCTGATGAAGCTGATGGCATTATTCAGGCTAACTTCCACATGGACCAACCTGCAGCATAGAAATTGTGGATAGACAGAAATAGCCCCAACAGACATAGTTCTTGCATGTGGATCAAACCACATCCCCCATTTCTTCTCATTGTAACTGATCATCAGGGATTGGGGCCACCAGTGAGCACATGGCATGGGTAAGGAGAGCTCACACCAAGCCCTTGAGATCAATCTCTGCAGTGAAGACTGACCAGGCATGAGGAGTCCTGCCTGGGGTCAGATGCCCTCCTGGCCATGGGCTAGGTTTCCAAGGAGGGTGGATGGGTGTCACCATCCTGACTTTTCTCAATTTGCAGAGTGTGTTGGCTTAGCTCTGATGGCTACCTGGAGCAAAGACTTTCCCTGGGGACATCATCTCCAGTAGTCTCCCTCCTTGGCAGAGACTGGGCTATAGCATATCCCTGAGCATCTCAGGTGACCACCAACAAGGAGAAGTGGAGAGTATGCCCTGAGACTTTGGGAGATACACATGTGCTGCCCCAGCAGAGGTGACATCCCACATCCTATATACCTCATAGTGGCAAAAACTGCACCTGTGGCCCTTGACCTGGGCACTTACTGGTCTGGTTTTTGTATCATTACTCCTGAGCATGTTATGGTGTTATCATCCACAGTGGTGGCTTTTTTATCTAGGAGAAAACCACAAGAGAATAATGTCAAGGAGCATGTCCATCCATCCATCTCCCCTCAGCTGGCCCCTGGCAAGCAGACTAACACTGTCAGATGCCAGCTTCTCTTTGCTGCCTTCCTCTGAGCCCCTGCCATGCACCAGGCTCTGTGCAATGCCTGGCTGGAATGGGAAAGTTTGAGTCCCTGGTCTCAAGGGCCCTACATTTGAGGGATGGGAGGGAGACAATGAAATAACAAAGAAGGAAATAAATGTGGAGAGGGACACTTCTTGAGACCACAATAAACAACAGAAGGCACAGCGAATAGAGGGGAAGGGACAGCTGCTTAGGAATGTGGGGCCTGTCCTGTCCCTAAGAGACACCATTTCTCTTAAGGGACTGAAACATTTACTGTGTAATGTTGTGATGTCTGGAGGTAGCTCTGGGTTTACCAGATGGCCCTGCAGTAAGACATCACAGCACACAATCTCATCAGGTCCAATGAATGCATTGGGGGGGCTCAGTGGGAGATAGTCCTACTGTACCACCTTGCTCTCTGGGGAGGATCACACCCATCTCAGCGTGAGGGCACATCTACGTACCCAACATGTGCTTCTACTGGCCACTCGCCCATCATGGAGGAATATCTGATGCCTGAGTGTTTCCTTACGTTATAGGCTTACATAGGTGATATGGTTTAGCTCGACTATTATATTGACTTCATTTTGCAGTAGAGGAAAAAGAAGCTGAGAATAGAACCCTCATTTGGTCAAGGTCAGACAAGTAATGTGTGCCTGTGCCAGGATTCCTGGGCCTGGGCCTGGAAGCTGGCATCCTGTCTCGATCCCAGATGCACACATTCTCCTGTGAAGCTCCCAGTGCTCCTGGCCCAGGGCTGCCTGTGTTTCTCGCCAGCAGACTCAATGGATTCGGGTCCTTGTCTCTCAAGGCCAGTGAGAGCTGAGCCAAGGGAGGGGGAATACAGCTCTGGGGCACACCAAGCACACCACAGCCATTCTTGGCAAGGGTTAAAGCCCTGCTAGGAGAGGCTCTTGTGGTTGATGACTTCCCAGCTTTGAGGTATAGGTCACCAGGCTTCCCAGCCAGGTCTCTCCTTTTACTTGATCTATCCTCACAGGACCCACAGTGAATGGTAAGCAAGGGCTTTGAAAACTTGGCTGGCTGAGGGGAAGGCAGCCTGTTGTAGGGAGTTTGTCACTTGGAGGCACCAAGAGAGCTACTTACCGAAGAATTTATCATCGCTGAAGCGGAACCTACAAATAACTTCCTCCTTGTTTATTGCATTATTAAATCCTTTTCCAGAAATCATAATTTCATAGTCTTCTGCAAAGCAACATTCAAAGGTCTGTGTGTAAGGTGGGGCCGAGGGCTGCCTTCCCTCTGTCTTACAAGGCATGTCCCCCCACAAAATGGAATTCTCAGGAAGCAAACATGTTGAAACAAACAAGGCTGACCTCTGGAGGCCAGATCCTCACCCAGTGTAATGGAGGGTCCACTCTGAGTAACAGGGGAGATTTAGGCTGTAGGGGGGCTTCTCATCTTCACCCCTGATACTTGGAGTCCATTAAAGGGACCCAACCTCATCCTCTGTATATACTAAGATTCTGGGACCCTGCACAACGAATCCCCCATGGAAGAAGTCCTGTCTTAGCTGTGGTTCTGGAAGTCTCACATGATTGCTCTTCCCCTGCCTTTGCCTGAGGCTTCATGGACTACACATAACCCACCCGGGATTCAACAAGCACTTCCTCTTTCAGTGTGGAGACACTGATATGTGAGGTGCAGGTCTAGACCCTAGATCTTCACCAGGCTGCTGAGCCTCCCCTGAAGCAAACACCAGGGGATAGAGAAGACAGCTGGTAGACTGGTCCCTAAGGATTTAGCCAGGATAACATGTGGGTCTTTAACTGCAAGCCCAAGGTCATTAGCCTCCATCACTGCCTCCTGTCCCAGACTGGGTCATTCCAATCCTGGAAGCTTGGGTTGCCCTAGCTCAATTTATTTATCTACACAACCTTTATTATAGCACAACCTTGGACCTGGCTGCCCTTATTTCTCCTGCTTCAGGTCTCCCTGCAACTCCCATTGATCAGGGCAGTGTTTGCAAATTCTCTGCTTTGAAGAAAATAGATCCTGGGCCTGTGGCCCAATGCTGGCTGCTGTTGTGGTTTGTTAGGCATTCAAGTGTCTTCCAAAAATGGGTATCAACACTTAAAGCCTGCACATTTTCCCTAATAACCCAGATCACTAGCATTCTTCAAAAATGGGAACACCTGGAAATGGTGGGTTCATACTTCTGCATGTCAACCATTGGCTGGGCCCTGTTCACATCAGGGGAGCTCCTCAGGGGCCAGCGCCTGCCTTGCTGCACTACACCCCACATGCAGTCAACCATCCTTGGCTTGGTCTGACACATGCCTCCTGCTCACGGCACCAGCCTGGCCCCCGAGGGCACTGATGGCAGTGGTCCACCTAGCGGAGGCTTGATGTCTGTAAGTGACACGTCCTCTCCCACACACAGTAACCAACAGTACAATGCTGCTTTGAACTCAGTTGTGCCAGGCTGCCTGCTCAAGGCTCACACTTCATAAGGACCCTTCCCACCATGACACAGGGCTCTGTGATTGGCCTGGAAGGAGCAGTTGGGCTTATCTCCTGTGCACCCTTTCGCCAGCCCAGCTAGGGCCACCCTGGGCAGAGCTTTGGCTCTCAGTCTCAAGGAAGTGTCATCTGCAATTTATATTCCAGGATTTTTTATTGCAAAGAAGCATTTCCTTGCAAGACAGAACTGTAAATTGACAGCCCACACTGTAACTAGATACAGGCAGAGAAGGGAACAGTCAGCTGGCTGCATGTGGACAGATCAGGTTCCAGAGGAGGCAAAAATAGTGAGTAGAGCCTTCCTGCCACAAGCACACAGGCAGAAGGAACCAGAAGTGGGCAAATCTGTGCCAGGCCAAGCCATGGAACACCGGTGTTCATCCAAAATGACACTCCTCACTAACTGAGCGTATACTATGGGCCGATCTACACTTTCCTTAACCTCTAATACCCGTGAGCTAGGCATTCCTACCCAAGCTTTCAGAGAGGGAACCTGAGGCTAAGAGAGGGCAGGTGGCCTCCTCCAGACCCTTGGCAGGTACAGGGCCAGGATCTGACTTCAAGTACCCATTCCAGGACCCACTTCTGCCCCCTTTGCTCTTGTCTTAGTTCTGAGCAGCTATCATGAGGCTGCTTCAGAGGGATGGCCCATAGCACCTGCACTTCTCAGGAAGAGCACGTGCTGTCCATATGCCTGTGATCCCCTTCCCAAAGTGTGCACCCTGCAGCCTTCAGGCCCTGCTCAGTCACCACTTCTCCTCCGCAGCAGCACCCTCTGTGTCCCCAAGGCACTGCCCCTTTAGAGGGTCTTGTCACTCTGGCAAGTCTCGTTTAGTGGAAGGCAGGGTGATGGTGTCAGACTTTGAGCAGAAGAGATGTGGACTTAAAGGATTTTGCTTTGTCTAGTAGCTGCTCCTTGGTTCCAACACCCCTCACCCAATTCCTCCAACAGTAACACACACAGGAGGAGAATGAAGCCAAGGATGGATGAACACTGGCTTTCAGGGAGCTGTGTCTCCTAAGTAGAGTCCCACTGTGTA